TCTGATCCCGTTAATCAAATGACAACTCATGTCAATGGCTAGGAAATATAACCATCTTTGATTAACGAGCTAGTCAAGTAGAGGCATACTAGTGACACTTTGTTTGTTTATGTATTCACACAAGTATTATGTTTCCGGTTAATACAATTCTAGCATGAATAATAAACATTTATCATGATATAAGAAAATAAATAATAACTTTATTATTGCCTCTAGGGCATATTTCCTTCACCAACATGGTTAGCACCCCCTATCCAGAACACCATCACCCGGGCGCGTCCGCGAGCAGCGTCCGAGCAACCCTCAAATTTACACATCATACTTCAATACTTTAAACCATACAAAGAATGCAAAAGAAACATCTACGTACTACGTAGATCAACTTGTACATGGACAGCAGCGGTAACTCCGGCTCCTCTAGCTCCTCGGCGTCGGCCCCGCCTCCTCCTCCACCTCCAATTCGGCAAAAGGCGTGTTGGTCACCGCCCGTTCTTGCCGGATGAACCATTGGTTCGCCTCGACATAGGCCTCATTCTGGTTGGACTCCAAGACGGTGGTCTGCTATACCATTTTTTGTCGCCTGAGCGACCTCGTACTTCACCATGGCGAAGCCAGCAACCGGCACCGGCTCCGCGTTGCTTCCTCCTCCTCCTCCTCCTCCTCCTCCATGGGCTCCAGCTTCGGCTCCTCCTGCTGCTGCTCCTCCTCCTCCATCTTTGAAGAATCTGGAGTCATGCCCGCTGCCGACAGGGCGATGCGCCTAGCCCAGATCTCCTCGAGCAGTTGGACACGCCGCTCAGGCGTAAGCATAGCATAGCCCATATTCTTCTACCGGGCCATAGTGGAGATGGGCGGCGAGAAGGAGAGCGGGAGCGAATGTGGAGGGTGGGGAGAAGTTGATGGATGAGATCAGGCTGACGACACGGAGAGGGAGTGAGCAGATGTGGCTAGGGCTCGGAGACGTCGTCCAGATTAAATTGCCGGGCCCTGGCCCTCTAGGGGCGAGCCGGAGCGGCGGCGGGACATTCACACCCCATTGGATGAGACGCCCGCCGGACGAACTATTGGGTTTCCGAGCATTTACTTGTGGGACCCGACTGTCAGCACGACATGATCGGTCACGCTCAGGCCGCCTCATATCCGCCCTACATTTGAGATGGATATGAGGGGTGCCGGTATGCCCTGACATTTAAGGCTAGTTTGAGGCATATGGATAGATTATATTTTTGACAAGTGAGTGGTCGGGTCGACCGTCCCGGCATTTGAGACCCGATTTTAAGAGCATCTACAGCCGCGCCCCCAACAGCCCCCCACGCGTTTTTCGGGCGCCGGCGGCCGAAAATCGGCCCAGTCGCGTCCCAGGAGCTCGTTTTTCGCCGGTTTGGGCCGAAACTGGCGCCGACGGACCCAGGCCGAACCCGGCGCGCTGGGGGGGGGGGCGCCTGGGGACGCCGGGGAACGCGTTTTTTTGGCGCAAACGGTAATGGGCCCGCCGTGTCAGTGAGACTCCGCTTCGTCGTCCTCACCGCCTCGGTTCCTGCGGGAATCAATGCCAAGACTGCCGCACCGGTCAACCTCCATTGATGCCTCATGGGCGGCGCAGTGAAGGCGCCACCGACGCGTGTTCCGCCAGCTCCCGCCACGCGTCGCCCGGCATGCACGCTCTCGTCGCCCGGCCACGGCTATAAAAGCCGATCCCCCCACCGGTGAACGCCACAGCTGCACACTTCGCCTCACATCGCCACACAAAGCAGCACACTCCCCCCTTCCCGTCGACGAGCAAATGGCTGAGAGGTTCCCAGGCGACAGCGCGACAACGAACGGCTTCGGCCATCGCCATCTCGAAGAGCCGGAGGCGCGCCTCCTCTACGAGGCCGAGTATCCGGCGCCCCCGGACATGCGTGTGCCGGGGGCATGGAAGCTGAGCGCCGCCGGCGTCCCGATGTCGCCGGTGCCCGAAGGGGCGGCACAGCGGGCCGAGATCGCCCGCATCCGCTCGTCGCTGACGGAGGAGCAGCGGAACAAGCCGAGGTACACCGCCGACGGCCACACGCTGTGGACGATGTACTTCGAATGCCGCCGTGAAGACCAAATCGCCTCCACTAACGACATAATCCCCCGCGGACGCCTCCACGCCGACGGTCAGTGCGACTGGTGGGGCGTGCCCAGCCGCATCCTCGAGCCCGTCCTCAACCACATCGAGACCGGCAACACGCCGCACCTCAAGTACCCACCGCGACCGTCCTTCTCTCGCCGTCGTGACAACTCCTGGACGCCGCGGCGAATGGAGCCGGGGACGTCCTCGTCGTTGGGCTCCGGCTCGCTCTCCTCTGGCTCACCGGCGTTCCGCCCCGTCAAGCCGGAGCCGGAGGCGCCGCACCCGCAGCGGCGCCCTCGTCATCAACGAGGGTGCCCGCCCCTCCCCGCGCTCCCTCCGCCTGGTCCGGCCGAAGCCCAAGCCTGGGCTGCTCCCCGTGAAGCCAGAGCACGTGGACATGGTCGCACTCGACGACGCGACGCCCTCAAGTGGGTGAGGGATGACTACGTCCGCGAGCAGGTGCTCCGCCAGCGCTGGGCATACGCGGAGCTCCAGGCCCGTCGTCGTGGACGCGAGGAGGGTGGCGTCATAGTCCTCGACAGTGATGAGGAGGACGAGGCCGGGCCGTCCAACCCCCCCACCGCGCGTTGGCGACCCTGGCCAGGGGTGCAGTCGGGACGTCGGCGGCTCCGGTGGGGCGCGCGACGACGACGACGACTACACCCGTTTCTACAGACTTCTCGGCATGTAGATGGCGGGCGGTGGCCGCGGCGAGCAGGGCTAGGCATAGTTTGGCGTAGTAGTAGGCGTAGTTTATATGTTTATCTGTTTTTGTACAAATTTCAATAAAGTTTTGCCGAGTTTGTGCTAGATCGCCGAGTTTGTACAATTTTGTACTATGAAATATCGTCGAGTTCGCGTGATTTTGGCGGCGATTTTGGAGGTGTCGACTGGGAACGCAATCGCCCCACGCACCAAGCATGCGCCGACTTGTCTTCATGCGGCTCTTTTTCAAGGTCCTGGGGCCGAACGGCCGGAGATGCTCTAAGGGCATCTCCAATGGTTGTAAAATAGTTGTTGGTAGATTTTGCCACATAGGGTTTTTGATGATGTGTCATACAATAAATGAGGGAAGAGAGAAAGGTTGTATGTACATGAAACAACACCCTTTGCACAAGCTTCAATGTAGAATGAGAGAGCACATTATTTATTATCTCACATCGTATTGGGCAAACTACATACAATTCATTGGAGTTGTTGTATGTTAAGGTGTTGGTTGATGACATGACATATTTTACCAACAAGCTAACATACAAACTGTTGGAGATGTCCTAATAAGGCGGCCGGGTAGATGGTGTGAGTGCTTGAGTTCAGCGGCTTGGCTGTACACCGCTCGTGAGCAAAAGCCCGCCGTGCGCCACACGGCTCTACCAGTGCAAAGCGCCCGGGTGGCAGCGTCCGGATGGCCGCGTGCACGCGAGCACGTGGTACGCCGAGCTCACGCTCATAAAGGTCACCCCCACGCCCCACCTCGGCCGCAACTCACTTCCGCGTTCCCCTTCCTCTCGACTCGGTTCGAACCGGTTTGGGGCCCTCTTCGCATGGCCGCTTCCAAACCCTAACCCGCAGATCCTTTGCTCCCCTAAACCCTTCCCCCAATCCCCCTTCTCCTCCGCCCCGCGGTGCTCGCCGGTGCGGGCACCGCCCTCCGCTGCTCTGCCCGGCGGGACGCTCGGCGTCTCGACCCCCGCCTCAGCCGTCGCGCGTGAGGTACGCTTTGCCCATTTCTCTCCTCTCCTGGGTCAGCGTGCGCTCGGCGCGGTGCGCCTCCATGCTTAGCTTGTGGTGCTGGTGCGGTTCGATGTTCGGGGCGCGGGCAATTTGCTGATTCGGCCTCCCGAGTCGCGAACCCTACAGGCCGGGCGTGCACTCGCTGCCGCCTCGCACGGGGAGGGTGTGGGGCCTGGATGGTGGGTTCGGACTTCGGAACGGTGTGGTTTTGTTCTTGCGTTTTTCCATGCGTGTTCGCCACCTGTAGCCATGAACCCCAGTTAGCTTCCCAATTCGAGAACATTATATTGTCTGGAAGAAGCAATGGCGTCGAAAAACACTCGATTGTGGCAATCTTTTGGGTGTTTGATTTGATGCTTTTTTCGATTTGATGGATTGCGTGGTAGAAGATGTGAGAGAGGGGTCGGAGTAATTCGCTGATATGCACTCTTGCCGTTATACTGCTGCGAGTATCAGCATGCTCTGATTTGACTTGGATCGTCTTCTTTTCTTGTCTATGCATATTGCTTGTTCGTGCATGCATTACAAGCCCCTTCTATACATATCCTGATGGATATTTTCTTAGTATTGTGGGTTTTCACATCCGAAAACATGGTGTTGGATTCATTCTGCTTCTTAAATGTGTGATGCAATGCTAACCTGATAGTTATTTCGGTTTTTTTTCTGGCAGAAATGATTAATTCATCTTCACTCCTAACGACTAGTAGCCTTTAATAGTTTGTTTCCTTTATTTTCTGCGGAGACTCTGAGCTAATAAGTAGTCAATGCCATTCATTCAATGGTACTCCTATATCTTTTTATTAGCCGTTATCCCCTTCTGCACGGTAAGTAACGCCATATAAAAACCTACCAACCCCTCGCTCGCTGAACCAATGTGCCATCACTAATTTCCCTAATAATTGGGTGATCACATCCTCTGCTAATAACTGAATCGCTAGCCTCACTGCACGCCTCTTGCATGTGGTTTGTTGCCCTTTGGGATCTGGCCCTTCAGCATGCAGGCTCCTCTAGCGCTCATATGATTAGCGATTGGAAATTAGAACATTAGCAATAAGTCACTTGGTACGTCAGGGGTAAAAAGGAAAGAAAACACCCACACTGAGTACCAGAGGCAAATCCTGTCAAACAATATGGGAAAGATTAGAAATTTTTTCATGCCTTACAAAATGAGATGGTGGAGTTCTGGTTAGGATTTTTGACTGACTTTAAGATTGTCAGCATTTCTGAGCTCCGTAAATCAGAATTCTCTTATGAGAGAGGTTAGACTTAAGGGAGACATTTGGCCCATCAGCCAATGGGAAGAGGATAAGGGGAGGAGGGAGAGAAGTACGGGAGATGGGCTTTGGCCCAGGCTGTCTAAGGGTAGGTGAGAGCGATGAATGGGCCATGAAATATTTGTCACCATTCAAATTTTAAGAAAAAAAAATGATATTCATCATTCGGAAAACATTAAGCATTCAAATAAGCAAGGGAAAATACCAAATGAACTAATAATCCAGAAAGAAGATCAACGTTTCATATTGTAATAATTGAATCCTATATTTATGTTACAACTAGGTTAATTGTTGTTGTGGCAGGAAAAATGTTTAATGCTCGAACGAGAATTATCTCCTTATCTTTTTTTCCTAAAAGAAGAATTTATGAACTATGTTTGTGGCTTTATGCATGTTCTAAGTGGTTTTGCATTGCAACAAATATTTTATTATGTTCCATATCCTGCACTTATTCCTGTATCTGTGGTTTCCGTTTTTGTTTATGCATCATGTTAATCTATAAACAGAAACATCACCTGTCTGAGATATAGTAGCTTAAAATTTACTGGGACCAGGCAGTCGTTATGGTAATAGCCATGTGATGCGTATTCATATCTGTGGTTTTTATAAGAAATTAAGAATGGAACCCTTCCGTAGGATTCATTGTGTTTCTAAGAATGCATTATCTGTGAATGAAGCTCTAGTAAACTGTTTCTTCTCCCTTAGTCTTTCAGCTTGCACGTAGTTCCGAACTACCCGTTTTATTTTCTTGTTATCTTATTTTAGCTTGCTGTGGCTGTCATATCTCAAAGTTGATTATCTTTCCACTAGTGATTTGAATGCCTTTTACTGTATCTATTCCTAATTAACTAATGACTTCCGAAAATCTGTATTGTGTTTGTTATTAGGTGCATGTCTCAACTCGATCTGAAGGATATATGTAGTGGATGTTGAATGACATTCTCTATGGATTTGAACGCATCACCATTGCCTGAAGAAGAGGATGAGCAGCCTTATGAAGAACCACCTGGTGAGGCTGATTATGCGCATGAGGAGGAACATGTTGAGTCTGCTGTTGCAACATTGCGAAGGGTATGTAGTACTCATTCTGGTTATAGTTTTCCATTTGCTGTGAATTGCTCATTGTGTAAGTTATAATTGAAATATAAACTATGTCTTATTAGACATGTGTGCTAGGTTAACATTGTTAGCTGAAGAAAATTACTGACAGAGAGATGGTTATCATTGATAATTTGGTATGTATCATCGCGGCTTTCAAGATAAAAATTGTAGATGTACTCTGCATCAGGATCATAATGAAATATCCATTTTTGTGGGGATTGTGTTTTTACAGCAAAGTTGGTTCATATGTGTAACTTCATTTTCCACTTAAATTTGCACCATGCAAAAACAATAACCGCTTGTTTTCTTACCAGAAAGCATGCAAACTGGTTTTATTTGGTGTTGCTAGCTCTATCATTTTATGCAAATTCTGCTCTTGTTACTAGGAGCGTGAAGAGAGGCGGAGGAAATTGAAGAGAGAGCACCAGGATGAAGGCTCAATGCAACACCCTCAGCAGATAAGGAATGATTATGCACCTCCAATCAAAGTTGGTAGAGGCCGGATTAAAGAGGCACCTGAGGGTATGAATAAGTCAAATTGTTTTCTAACGAGCTCTTCTAATTGTTGATAATATAAAATATATATTTTATACCTTATATTCTCTCTTTCACTTCGGCAATTTCTATTTATGGTATTTTTTTAAATAAATGGATTTTTAGTATTTGTATTTTCATGGTTTGATTTCAGGTTGGTTGGATTGTCCTGCATTTGGTGAGCCAATAGATAAAATCATACCCTCCAAAGTTCCTCTTGATGAAACATTCAATGAATCAGTTCCTCCTGGCAAAAGATATTCTTCCAAACAAGTAGTAAACAAGCAAAGAAAAGCTGGCCGTGAAGTAAGTATTGTTTGGTTGATAATTTCTAGTGTTTACCATATGTGTTATGTCTGGGCATGTTGTACCTATTTATATGCAAAATGGGTTATTCACACAGAAAAAATGCCAATTTGAAGTGCTCTTACAACATGTTTAGTTTACTTAACTATCTCTTATTTATATCAAGGGTGTATACTTGATACCATTGGCACCCCTTCCTTCTGTATGAATGTGTTCCTAGTTAGCTACTTGTTACCGAAAGATAATTTTACTTCTGTATTAATTTTTCTTTTTTTTTTCAGATAGGGCTGGTGATTGATCTGACTAATACTTCTCGATATTACTCACCAGCAGAGTGGACAAAGCAAGGTACTAAGCATCTCAAGGTGAGAGAGCTTAGCTTAAACACATCTTTTATTTTGAAGTACTCCTTCCTAAACATTTCCATTTTTAGATTCCTTGCAAGGGAAGAGATGCTGTACCAGATAATGAATCTGTTAACGCATTTGTCTATGAGGTAACAACAACAATATTTTTGATACAGATATTTACATTATCAGTATATATTATTCTGGATGGTGTGTATTTATTCAGTCTGATGCTTAATTCTTGATATCTTATTTGGCATCTCCTTTTCACCCCAATTATTTCCCACTTCGTATCTTACTATCTTTCACATGATGCTTTAAACCACGATGTAGTTATCAATGGCACCTTAGCTTGAGTGACAAGCCACTTATTTGTGGATTGGTCGATAATTATCATGATGTGTGCTATGTGTTCAGCAGTTTTTTTGTGTGCTAATTTACACCACGTTGCTCATTCGATCTAGCCCTTTTTCATTTATCATATTTATTGATTTGTTTTTTCAGTTCATTGGTATGGTGCATAGTACTTGCAAGCTCACCTCTTTTTTTTTTTGTAAAACAATACGCCGGGGCACACGAGTTTGATGATATAAACATGCATATGGATCTTCACCTTTTTTTGTGGCTGTGGTGACTTTCTTCTTTTCTTATTAGACACTCTTCATTCCATGTGGTTAGTTTTTTCTACTGTAGAGTTAATTGATGTGCTTGTAGGTCATTAATTAACGACCATATATCTATATAAAAAGCTCATCAGAAGCTATTTATGCAATTATTTTGCTATTTTCAGGTGATGATGTATCTTGAACGACAAAAGCATACCAAGACTCCCAAGTATATTCTAGTTCACTGTACCCATGGTCATAATCGTACAGGTTTCATGATTATTCATTACCTCATGCGTACACGCATCTCTTGTGTTGCTGAGGTAGGGCAACTAGACACTGAGTGTTTTTTCAATGTAGTTCTACTATTTGTCTTGACATCAATTTTCCCCCTAGGCAATACGTATTTTTGCTCAAAGGCGACCTCCTGGTATATATAAGAGGGACTACATTGAAGCATTGTATTCATTTTATCACGAGGTTCCTGAGAATATAATTGTAACATGCCCTTCAACACCAGAATGGAAGAGGCCTTCTGATCTTGATCTAAATGGTGAAGCTAAGCCAGATGATGATGATGACAACGGTGATGTTTCACCAGTACATGTATGTATTTTCCCCTTTTATTTAGGTAAAATTATTCCAAGTAATTGTAGGCTGCTTCCTTGTACCCGTTGATCCTTTTTCAATTGTTGGAATACAAACTGCTATGTAACTTCTATTTCTTCGCACCTTCTACTTGAGTATTTGAATTTTACTTTTGAACATTACAGATGGAGCCAACCATATCATGGATCATGTTTGTTCATTTTCAAGCAACATTATTTGTCTGATAACTGATTTATTGTTTTGTTCTTGAGACATCCTCTTGTATCTTGCAGAATGATGTAGAGGAGAAAGTCATCACCAATGATGATGTGCTGGGAGACGATGTACCTTTTGATCAGCAAGAGGCTCTGCGGATCGTATGCTATCGTTTGCTTGAACTTCCCCCTGTAAGTACACATTTTCTTATTCGTGCTCAACTAGCATTTTTGTGTGGATAACATCAAACACCAGTATTGCTGTTTGTAGAATACTCTCCCCATCCCAGAATAGAAGGTGCACATGTTATGCAAATTTAACTTTAACCAATGATTATTCCAACCACACGTGGATTAATACATGATGCGAAGTTGACATCTAATTGCTGGGAAAATGCTCGCACCTTATATTTCGGGATGGAGGGGGAATAGCTCAAATGTTACGAATTTTCAAGTGAGCAGAGAGTACATGCATGCAGTGTTGCTGTATGTCAAGTACTGCAGAGCTTGTGAATGAAATCTAACGGGAAGTATTTATGCAAGCATTTGCTCATTTCACATGATGTGATGGTTCGACATGGTGTGCACCTACATATTAACTATTTTACTAAGCTGTGTGAAATAATATGCAAATAATGTGCTTTTCTGTCATCAAACTGAACTCCTGAAATGGGTTATGGCGTTTTCAGTATGAACATTCAAAGTGTGTGTGTGTGTGTGTGTGTGTGTGTGGCGTTTTCAATATGAACATTCAAAGTGTGTGTGTGTGTGTGTGCGCGCACGTGCGCGTGTGGGCTGCGCTGTTGTGAGCGAGCGCGCATAACGTCTTAGCGTGCGCTCCGGTCTAATTAGGTGGGCAGGTCACACCGGGAGCTAAGAAGCACGGACACGGGGACGGAAAGACGGGGATACGCATACGGGGATACGGGATACGGCATTTTCCCAAAACAGCCATTCGAGGATACGGCGAGTATATATATAGTAAAATAAAAATATGGCATGTAATATTAAGTTAAGACAGAAAATTAATAAGAAAGAAATCTTTTTTGCCAAGTGCTTGATTGATCCTCATCCCCCCATGCAATGTTGTCATTGCAAGCTGCATCCATCTTGCAAAACATATCAAACACAAACAGTAAAGAAGATTAGAGGAGAAGACATAATTGAAAGATTAGAGGACAAAACATACTTGAAGCAACATGGAGCAGCAGCGCAAGCATTCAACCCAGCAGCACAAGATAGCAAGCAACATCCAGGATCCAGCAGCTTAATGGTAGAAATATGACGAATCAAAGAGGAAGAGGTTGAGGAATAGGAGAGGCTGTTGGGTTACCTGCGAGTAAAGGCTGCTGGTGCTGGGGCTAGCGGTCGCCGAATCCAGGCGTCGCCGGCGGCGGCGTCGATCCAGGAGGCGGCGGCTCGTGCAGTACGACCTGGGAGGGAGCACCTCGTTCTCATGACAGAGAAGGTGCGGGAGACATATAGGGTTTCGTATTGGGTTGGACCGAGGCTGGTTTTGGGCTGGGCCGTGTCCCAAACGTGTCCCAGACGTGTCCCACCGTATCCCTGTAATTTTTTCCTTATTATTAATCGAAATTCGTGGGACACGGCTTAGTTCGCGTATCCCAGCGTATCCCGGCGTATCCCCGTATCCCGCCGTATCAGGACGGCAGTTCGGCTGATTCTGGCGTGTCGGTGCTTTTTAGACCGGGAGTAGGCTTCTCCACCGCTAAAATATTTGAGGGTAAAACTGTTTCTAAGAAAAAGTAATGGATTTAATTTGGTTACCATGCATCGTCTACGACGTCCCGATCCGAAGGTCATTAGTTTTTGGCAGTAATATAGATAGAAGAGATGGTAATGGACGAGAATTCTTTACCAAGCAATGAGATGGTTCGATCCCTCGGCCTCGTAAACCTAGTAAATTCATTCTAATATGTAGTAACCAATTACTACATGCTCTCTAATTGTTAGCAGTAAAAGGGATGGAGTGGATGGTAATGAAACAAATTATTTGACCAGCGAAAGATGCTTCAATCCTGGAATGTAGTAAAATCAGGTTGCTATGTAGTAACGCATTACTGCATGTGCCTTTTCGTTGAAAAATACACACCCTTGCTTGGTTAACGCATTACTCCATTCTAAGTAATTGTTAGCAGTAAAAAGAATGGAGTGGATGCTGGATGGTAACGAAACTACCAACGAAGGAATTAGAGATGCTTTCATCATGACGCATGGTAACCGTATTACTGCTGTGTAGTAATGCTTGGATCAGTATGTAGTGATTGTTTTTTCACGAAGGAAGGGGACTAGCGAAGCGCGTGGACCAGTATTGGTCGTAAATCGTTACGATGGAATTTTCCCGACGCGCGCCCCCTCTGGCTAGTTAACGCGTACTGGCCGGTTGGGTCGAACTGGACAGAGCGTATGCTAAGAAATAATGCGCGCAGGCTCAGTTTAGCATGTCTGTATATATTGTATTATGGCATGGGTGGAACATGCTATTATAGTGCGTTTTCTGTGTCTTTTGCCTGTTCATAACTAATTATTTTATGCGATACTTCCATTTGACACTTCCATGTTGCAATCTTTGTAAATTATTTTGTTTCTGCAATTTTTATGTATATGTAGCTTCAAAAGAAGTTTCTTTCTTACATCCTTTCTTTGGTTATAGGCGAGAGGGCATGCACAATTTCCAGGATCACACCCAGTCTCTCTTGACAGGTAACCAACGGTAAACCCTACTGCATATATTGTTTATAATATTAAATAAATTATTCTACCATCTTATGTTTTTCTCTCTTAAATTTCTCTTGTAAGGCATTATCATAAATTGCAAATCAGCACCTGTTGAGTAAATACACCCGTTCGTTTTGTGAAACTATGCACCCTACCTTTTTAAGAATCTCTGATACACGCATGCTGTCCTCATTCTGAAATTGGAGTACTTTCTTCTATGTATCAATTCATATAGCTTATCCCCCTTTTCATATATTAAAGAGTGATGATTCGTTCGCAGTTAGGGTCGATGCATACCATCTTAGCGACCCACTCTAATCTGATGTCTCAAAAAAAAGTTGATATATCTGAAAATTATGTCGTAATTGTACAGTTAATCCCTTAATTACACCATACTAATTAAACTTTGCAACCTCTCTTTTGAAATTATGATGAATCTCACCGCAATCCATTCCTTATTCCTTAGTCATGACGCTATGACTACTGAGCACTGACCTTGTTTGCTGCTCCACATGAAATATTTGTCATAAAGTGTAATGGTTGCCATACCGTTTTATATCATTAAAACCGCACCAAGTTTCAAGAAATTAAAAAAAGGAGTTCTAAATCAGGAGGTGTTATATTTTTATGACTCGTATAGTTGACAAAAAGTGCATTTTTTTGCGTAAGACAAAAAGTGCATTGGGTGTGTATCTTTGCTAGTAATACTAAGATTAGTGATTGGTTTTAACAGCTAACCTTAGGCCCTGCTTGGATTCCCTGTAAAGTTTTACAAGTGTATATTGATTACCCCTGTAAATTACTGGAGATCAGTAAAATACAACCGGATATACAAGGGGAGTCTACAGCGCGCTTGGTTCGTCTTGTTTCTCACTTGGTTCAGGGAGTGTTCCCATGCGTTGTGTCGTTGGCGGCGGGAACACAATGAACTGCAAGGCCGGCGGCCGACGGTGCCAGCTAGACGCCCCCACCATGCCCGTGTTCCTCGGCCCTCCCTGTGGCGGAGCGGGGCCACGACGGCTGCGGGATCTGGCTGCAGTGCCGGCGCGCGGAGGTGCTCCGGCGGCGGTGCGAGAAGGCGCTCCGGCGACGTCACGGACGCGGCGGCAGCGTCAGCCCGAAGCTCGGCGGCGATGTGGCAGGACTGCAAGAGGCGACGGGCCGACGGCCCTTGAGTTTGACAGTGGTGTCTCCGGTGAAAGGCGGCGGCTGCGGAGCTTGCTTTGGTTGCTGATACGAGGAAAAACGACGGAAGGAGCAGTGTTTTGGAAACAGGCGGATTACCAGCGGATTACAACTGTAACGTAAAACCAGGGGTAAAATTTACAATGCGGAAACGACAATCCAAGTACTCCGGAGGTATTTCGTTATGGAGGTATCTTTTCCACGTGTAATTGGCTGCAAAACGACCAACCAAGCGGGGCCTTAAGGTGTTCATGAAGCAAGGCACTGTAAATGTTCGTGAAGCTTGTCCTAGTGTTAACATTAAAAGATGTTGGTTTGTTCTGATCCTACAAGCTAATACTTAGTGGGTGGTGGCAACAGCTAGCTTTAAGAAAACAATAGTTACTTAGATGGTAGGTGAACAGGCAAGGTTCTGCAAAATTCTATTGTTCTGAATGGACCATTATCGATTTTGGTTTATCTCCTTCTCCCTTATGTGGCCTTTTCTCTAATGCATTCTCTTTTGCTGATTGCAGTGATAATCTGCAGCTACTTAGACAGCGATACTATTATGCTACTTGGAAAGCTGACGGAACCCGATATATGATGCTTATAATGAGGGATGGTTGTTTCTTGATTGATCGGAATTTTTGCTTTAGGAGAGTTCAGATGCGCTTTCCCCATAGGAACCTGAATGAAGTAATGTCCTCCTCCTGATGCAGGAGAATCCATCGTAGTACATTTCTGTTTACATATCTAACCTTATTTCTTCGCCAATTGAAGGGTCCACATGATATGACATTGATTGACGGGGAAATGATTATAGATACAGTACCTGATTCAGGATTGAAGAGGAGGTACTTAGCGTATGATCTGATGGCACTTGATTCAGTGTCCAAGACAAAGGTATCTATTATAGTTTCCTTCCATTGAAGGAACATTGAGCACCCTTCGTTGAATTATTACCTGGAAGTCAGCCTCTTCGTCTATTATTAATGCCTTACTTAGATAACTGCTGTGGTCCATCCTCTGTCATTTTGAGCGACTACAAAATTTCTTGTTGCTGCACATGTTTATGGAAATAGTAATCACAGTATTCCTTTGTGTTACAACTTGCCATCATATTTAATTGATGTATACTTTGTCAAAGTAAATATCGAAGTTTGTATTTACTATGTCTATCATATCATCTTACCAATATGAGTACTTTTGTGGTAGGTTTTGTTACAGTTAGACCTTATCGGTGCAATTAGTTCTTGGCCTTAGTATAGTTTTAATTTCATAGTATTTTTGTATGCAGTTGCCTTTCTCTGAGAGGTGGAGATTAATTGAAGATGAAATAATCCGGCCACGCCATAACGAGAGAAAAATGTTTGAGAGTGGTGCTAAGAGCAATCCAATGTACAAATATGATATGGAGCTATTTTCGGTAATTGGATTCGGACCTGCTACATTTTAATGTTCCATTTTGATGAGTTGAAGTACATTTCTTATGTTTGGGTGCTCTACCAGGCCCGGAGAAAGGATTTCTGGCTTCTGCATACAGCAAAAAGGGTACTGAAGGAGTTTATCCCATCACTTTGCCATGATGCTGATGGCCTGATATTTCAGGTATGTTTGTCTTCTTTCGGTGACTGTACTGGAAACTTGAAAGCTGAAATTCCAGTGCAAGTTGATGCAATGCATAGATGCATAAGGAAGAAAACAAGCTATAATGGTGAACTACATGATTATATTTGTTTTGATAAAACCTCATGAAACTACATTTGTAACATAATCTTGGATTTTCTACTACAAGCAGAAGAGAAAAATGTTAACATTTTAGTCTCCCTGATTTTTGGAAACTACCGGGACTTCTAAGTATTTGAACTGTAGTCTATTACTTCAATTTTAATCTCCCATTTTATTTTCCGCCTTAACATTATTTGGTTGTGGCACTGCCTGAATTTACATGTCAGTTTGAGTTGCAAGCATGAAGTGGATCCTGGTTATATACATAGGAGTCATGTGGCCTTCTTGAGAACAATATAGACTCGTAGCATTATGATGCAAACCTGTCTATTGAGCTGTTTATTTCAGTTTGCAGCTGACTATATTAATCATCAGGAACACAAATAGTCTTGTGAGATACTTGGAAGGCAGAAAATGTGCTAATCAATCTACAGCGTAAAAGCTTTGTGGTAGCAACAACAACAACAACAACAACAAAGCCTTTAGTCCCAAACAAGTTGGGGTAGGCTAGAGGTGAAACCCATAAGATCTCGCAACCAACTCATGGCTCTGGCACATGGATAGCAAGCTTCCACGCACCCCTGTCCATAGCTAGCTCTTTGGTGATACTCCAATCCTTCAGGTCTCTCTTAACGTTAACGGACTCCTCCCATGTCAAATTCGGTCTACCCCGCCCTCTCTTGACATTCTCCGCACGCTTTAGCCGTCCACTATGCACCGGAGCTTCTGGAGGCCTGCGCTGAATATGCCCAAACCATCTCAGACGATGTTGGACAAGCTTCTCTTCAATTGGTGCTACCCCAACTCTATCTCGTATATCATCATTCCGGACTCTATCCTTCCTCGTGTGGCCACACATCCATCTCAACATACGCATCTCCGCCACACCTAACTGTTGAACATGTCGCCTTTTATTCGGCCAACACTCAGCGCCATACAACATTGCGGGTCGAACCGCCGTCCTGTAGAACTTGCCTTTTAGCTTTTGTGGCACTCTCTTGTCACAGAGAATGCCAGAAGCTTGGCGCCACTTCATCCATCCGGCTTTGATTCGATGGTTCACATCTTCATCAATACCCCCATCCTCCTGCAGCATTGACCCCAAATACTGGAAGGTGTCCTTCTGAGGTACCACCTGGCCATCAAGGCTAACCTCCTCCTCACACCTAGTAGTACTGAAACCGCACATCATGTACTCGGTTTTAGTTCTACTAAGCCTAAACCCTTTCGATTCCAAGGTTTGTCTCCATAACTCTAACTTCCTATTTACCCCCGTCCGACTATCGTCAACTAGCACCACATCATCCGCAAAGAGCATACACCATGGGATATCTCCTTGTATATCCCTTGTGACCTCATCCATCACCAATGCAAAAAGATAAGGGCTCAAAGCTGACCCCTGATGCAGTCCTATCTTAATCAGGAAGTCATCAGTGTCGACATCACTTGTTCGAACACTTGTCACAACATTATCGTACATGTCCTTGATGAGGGTAATGTACTTTGCTGGGACTTTGTGTTTCTCCAAGGTCCACCACATGACATTCCGCGGTATCTTATCATAGGCCTTCTCCAAGTCAATGAACACCATATGCAAGTCCTTCTTTTGCTCCCTATATCTCTCCATAAGTTGTCGTACCAAGAAAATGGCTTCCATGGTCGACCTCCCAGGCATGAAACCAAACTGATTTTTGGTCACGCTTGTCATTCTTCTTAAGCGGTGCTCAATGACTCTCTCCCATAGCTTCATTGTATGGCTCATCAGCTTAATTCCACGGTAATTAGTACAACTCTGAACATCCCCCTTGTTCTTGAAGATTGGTACTAATATACTCCGTCTCCATTCTTCTAGCATCTTGTTTGCTCGAAAAATGAGGTTGAAAAGCTTGGTTAGCCATACTATCGCTATGTCCCCGAGACCTTTCCACACCTCAATGGGGATACAATCAGGGCCCATCGCCTTGCCTCCTTTCATCCTTTTTAAAGCCTCCTTGACCTCAGACTCCTGGATTCGCCGCACAAAACGCATGCTGGTCTCATCAAAGGAGTCGTCCAGTTCAATGGTAGAACTCTCATTCTCCCCATTGAACAGCTTGTCGAAGTACTCCCGCCATCTATGCTTAATCTCCTCGTCCTTCACCAAGAGTTGGCCTGCTCCGTCCTTGATGCATTTGACTTGGCCAATATCCCTCGTCTTCCTCTCTTGGATCTTGGCCATCTTATAGATGTCCCTTTCACCTTCCTTCGTGCCTAACCGTTGGTAGAGGTCCTCATATGCCCGACCCCTTGCTTCACCAACAGCTCGCTTTGCGGCCTTCTTCGCCATCTTGTACTTCTCTATGTTGTCTGCACTCCTATCCAGGTATAGGCGTTTGAAGCAATCTTTCTTCTCTTTAATCGCCTTCTGGACATCATCATTCCACCACCAGGTATCCTTATCTTCGCTTCTCCTTCCCCTGGACACTCCAAGCTCCTCCGAGGCCACCTTACGAATGCAAGTCGCCATATTCGTCCACACATTGTTCACATCTCCTCCTTCCTCCCAAGGGCCCTCCTTAATGACCATCTCCTTGAACGCTAGAGCTACCTCCCCCTTGAGCTTCCACCACTTCGTTCTAGCGACTTTGGCACGCTTATCCCGCTAGACACGAATCCGAAAGTGGAAGTCAGCAACCACCAGCTTATGCTGGGGTACAACACTCTCTCCAGGTATCACCTTACAGTCTAGGCACGCACGCCTATCTTCTCTTCTCGAGAGGATGAAATCAATCTGGCTAGAGTGTTGGCCACTACTAAAAGTCACCAGATGTGATTCTCTCTTTCTAAAGAGGGTGTTAGCTACAATCATGTTGTAGGCTAGAGCAAAGCTTAAGACATCTTCTCCTTCTTGATTCCTGATGCCATAGCCAAAGCCCCCGTGCGCCCCTTCAAAACCTGTGTTAGATGTACCCACGTGGCCATTGAGGTCTCCTCCTATGAAGAGCTTCTCACCAATCGGTACACTCCTAACCATGTCTTCCAGGCCTTCCCAGAACTCCCTCTTGGTGTTCTCATTGTGGCCTACTTGCGGGGCATATGCGCTGATAACATTGAGAACCAAGTCCTCAACTACCAGCTTGACCAGGATAATCCGGTCCCCACGTCTCTTGACGTCTACCACTCCATACTTGAGGCTCTTGTTGATCAAGATGCCTACGCCATTTCTGTTTGCAGCCGTCCCTGTGTACCACAGCTTGAAGCCGGTATCCTCGACCTCCTTCGCCTTCTGTCCTCTCCATTTGGTTTCTTGGACGCAAAGGATATCAACACCTCTCCTCACCGCTGCATCAACTAGCTCCTGAAGCTTCCCTGTCAGAGACCCTACGTGCAAATTTCTTCTGTTTGTTTCCATTGGCCATTTAGTTCACCTTGCACCAAGAGTTCATGTTTTTGGTGTTACTCTTGTTACGCTTCTGCCCAAGATATGCTATTCTTCCAAAAAGTTCCCTAGAGACGTTTCCTGTTTTGTGCTTAGTCTGCCATGATGTGTGCTAGCACCACTGGGTAACCACCGTGTTTAGTGTCTCTTTGTGCTTGAGAGCAGTATGAGATCATGCATTGACTTACAAGATCTTAAGTGAGGGAGTGGAGGAAGAGGGACAGATGGAGAGGCAGGGGAAGATAGCTTCAGGAAGACCTTAGATGTGAGAGAGAGATGGAGAGGGAGGGGAAGAGGAAGAGGGCCATAGCTTTCTCCCTTGGAGCCCATTGTCGCTTTCTCCTGTGGGTCCGTTGCTGTAGTACACACGCTCTTCACATGCTCGAGTAGTCCATTTTAGCAATAATTTATCCACATGATGAACAAACAACACCGGCCTTTTTAGGGGAATGCATGTTGACTATCTGTATTTATTGATACAGTTATAGACTTGAATATTTGTAATGACGCTCCTACTTATGTGTGTTCTTGAGCTTCCTCTGACCGTACATGAATAATGTGTCTACACTTCTATCATTGGCGATTCTTATCATGGTTAGGAGTAGTTTATTTCAGGCTTCAAGAAGTGCAATCTGTTTGTCTTGGCTAACACACCTTTATTTGTGCTTGTTCATTAGGGCTGGGATGATCCTTATGTAACTCGCACCCATGAAGGTCTTCTTAAGTGGAAATACCCTGAAATGAATTCAGTTGACTTTTTGTTTGAGGTTTGTGTGGCCATTGTTTCCAGTATTGTTGCTTTAAATGGTTTATTTGTTTTTTTATATGGTGGGGTTTATTTCGTCATACCTAATTGTGCAGGTTGGCAATGATAATCGCCAGCTCGTTTTTCTTTACGAGAGAGGCAAAAAGAAACTCATGGATGGTTCTTGGATGGTATTTCCAAGTAATGCTGCAATTTTTATGGGCATTTTATTTTTGCACACTTGACAGCGTGTTTCTCATAAACAAGTTTGTATATTTTCTCATGCAATGAAAGCACGTCTCTCATAGACAAGTTTGTATATTTTCTCATGCAATTGTGAATAAGATAACTTATTTATCTTATTAGGACATCATTGTACTCTTATTCACTTCGTGTAAGTCCCAAACACAAAATATATATCCAAGACTTACATCTGCTTTTTTGGAATGACTGACTAGCTTAAACATGACCAGGTTTATGCATCTATACTATACCTTCATCTACCACTACCAGAACACTTTATTTGCACATTAATGGGTTTGGAGCCAATTTGTAGGGAGCCTGCAATCTCTAATATATTTTCCCACACATTTAAAAATTGCCGAGGATATTATCCTTCAGCTATGTATAGCACTACATCTATAGTTGAATGACCTGCAGACTTAAATCATTGTATTCTAGGAGCATATTTGCTCTTCTTGCTTACTGTTATGCTGGAATTTGAGTAGTTTCCCCTATTCATGGTCTAGCTGATGAGGTGTATTGGTTGCATATTTATGCTTGTTTTCTGAAACTTGTGCAGATGGAGAAGATCCATCATCTATCTCTGGGAGGATTGTTGAGTGCTCTTGGAATAAGGAACAACAGTGTTGGGTCTGCATGCGCGTTAGATTCGATAAATCGACTCCTAATGATATCAACACATATCGCAAGGTTGATTCTCTAGCCCTTATCTGTGTTGGAATTTACTCCCTCCTTTCCTAAATATAAGACATTTTAGAGATTCCAATACGGACTACAAACGGAGCAAAATGAGTGCATCTACACTCTAAGATATTTTTTATATACATCCATATGTAGTCCGTATTGAAATCTCCAAAATGGCTTATATTTAGAAACGGAGGGAGTACATACTGTGCATCTGGATATAATCATGGTTCTTTTAATACGAAAAGATATATCTTTTTCATTTGAAATCATTGATGTGTGCTAAAATTACAATATTTATTTATACATAGAGGCTAAATAAAATCTGGCCCCTGAAATAATTTGCTATAACTGTTTCCTTTTTCCATGAAAAAGAAATCATCACCTTGCTAGATTTTGAATTACTATAATCCTCTGACAGTATCATATTGTGTTATCTGCAGGTAATGAGGAGCATCACAGACAATATAACCGAAGACAAGCTTCTAGAAGAGATCACTGAGATAATTTCCCTCCCGATGTATGCTGATAGGAAGAAGGCTGATGAAAGGATGGCCCATGCAAAGATGGCACAACATCGGCGGAGAGGGCAGATGCCACCACAGTAGTGTTAGCCTTGTTGGAGTAGTGCTAGAGCGCCGCTGCCCCGTCTCTCTGGGCTGGGCGTCGGCTGGTTCCATTAGCTTGTGTAATTAGTAGAGGTTTAGGGCCGTATGTTGATGGCCGGCCAGCCGACTAATTCTTTGCACTTGTTGTGTGCCCACCGCCTGTATATAGTTGTCGCAGCAGAGTAGTCCTGTAAATCTTGTATCATGTTTCTGGATTCTCTCCTATGGTTTAGTTTCATGGGTGTAGTATAGTTAGTCTTTTAACAAGAGAGGGAGCGTGTTCAAGTCTTGTCTTGTAGTATTGCCAAAAGTGTCCTAATGCCGAGGGTGCATTGAGCTCGGGAATGCCTCTTATTATCCTATGTTAGGATTAATTAATGATTGTTAATTAAGGGACAATCCCTGCTTTTACTAACCGCAGACAGTTGCATCTGCCGCGTCGGTTCCCTGCCGAATAGGCACCTCCCTGAACAGATGCCTTCCTAGTGATGTCTCTTCCCTTTGTATAAATAGCAGATCTCATCTAATAAAGAGGACACCGTTTTCATTACTTCTCTCGTTCTACTCTTAACACGTTATCAGCACGCCCTCTGGCGGAGCGATTTCACGGCCAAACTGCCGGCAGCGAGTGCGCAGCGTCGCGATGCCCTCTGGCCCTGCTTGGCAAAGGAAGCCAACGCTCCAGCACTAGCAAAGGCAGCGCATGGCGCCGCGCACACCTCAATGGCTATTCCGCGGCAACGCGGTGTTCCCGGCGGAAGGCGGCACCCATGCGCGACCGCGGGCTCCCGGCAGCGTGTCCACAGGAGCGACCAACGGCCAACGCTTGGACCGGCGGCTCTGTCCTGCGCGACAGTCAGGGCAGAATGAGAAAGAACAGAGGTTGTGGATCTCCATCGATTCAAGAATTGAAGGCCTCAACAACGAACGCCAATGGATTCCCATCGATTCATTGATGAAAAAGGAAAAAGGTACCATGCGTTCTTCAATTCTTCCTGCACTGCACTGGATCAAGCGACAACTGCCGTTGCTTTTCATCAGCATCGCCAGCGGCGCCCGCGTCCATGCACCTTGCACACACACGGCTGTCCAGCGATGCGTCGAGGTGTCTGCCGGCCTCTAACGCGGGGCACGACTGCTGGCCTTGACCTCTCAACGCGGAGGCGCTGCGCGGACCTCGACGAAATGGCAACGCCCTCCGGCGCACCAGCCATGATGTGGCGGCGCGGCCTCGGCGCGAGGCCGCCTAAAGCGTGACCGCGGCGATGCCCGGCGCACACGCGCATGGCGAGACGCTCTCCCACTACGCACGCCGCGGACGACAGCCTCGGCGCCCGCGAAGGCGGCACCCAACCGCGGCGCGGCGCGGAAGACTAAGGCGACGCCGCGCCCTCGGCTTGCATCCGTCCAGCGGCGCCCGAGGCAACGGCACTCGGCTGGCCCTCCGGCCCCGGAGGCAGCGGCGCCCTTCGGCGTGGCTCCCATAGCGGAGACGACGGCGCTCCCACGGTCGCGGCCCTGGCCGGTGTGCCAAAACAGCGGCGGGCGGTTACAGGATTTCTCCTGGTCGAAAGCGCTCGGGAGTAAAGAGATAGGAACCTTATCTCTTCGCAAGTTTTGCATTTCAGCCTTTTGGCTTCACCTATTTCCGAAATAGGTCAAAACTTGCCTCTGTCATTGTTTTACGGCTAATTCCTGGAAGTTTCGGGATATTGCAGCTTGGTCTAACTAGTTGCTGTTGATTAGCACCAGTAACGTTAGGCCATGTGCAGATCATCATTTAGCCCATTTTCTGTTCAGTTTAAAATTCCAGAAAATATGTGGTTATTATATGTGGCATGTTCGATGTGTTTGCTTTTTAGCAATCCCTATAACATGTCTTATTAGTACAACAACATTGTTTTGTGATTGAGATTAAGTTTTCTCGCACAACAATATTAATTTGCGATCGAGATTTTCTTCTCTCGCAAAACAATCTCATAGCGATTGAGATTAATTTTCTCTCGCAAAATATTAATTCACCTTGCTGAATTATCTTGAAACTTGATACAAGATCATCACATTTAATTTGGGGTCTATACAATTCAAGTTTCACTTGAACATCAAGTTTGCAACATCATTACTATTCATTATAGTGGTGTATTTCTGTTGAGTACGATATATTCTGGAATGTATGTATCTCCATGTTTGCTACATGTCGAGATTAATACATCTATTTGCAATTGAGATTTTCAATTTCTTGCAAATACATATGCAAAATTCTTAGTGATTTCTTGAAATTGATGTATTGGGATCCCGAGGTAGTGTGTAGATTTACTGCTTTGCAGATTATCACCACTACTGTTTAAGCCTACATTTTTTCAAATTTGACATTATGATTGCACAACATTGTACACTCCCATGCATTTTACTAAGTCATGACATAAGGCATTAGGAGTGAGTATCTACTGATTTCATCAGATTATACTCCCTAGTGCTGCGAGATCTACTTCATTTTGGAGATTATCTTCAAGGTGTCATGCTTAGCAATTTGAGATTCACATTAATGATTTCAAGATAACTTCTTGAAATATCCATTAATTTTACAACATTACCATGATGGTCTTCAATTTACTAATCGTAAATTAACTATCTCTGGTAACCGATGGCTAGAGAATTTGAGGCATTCGCCCTCAATCGCCACCACTACCCTACCTGGGTATGGACATCATGATCACTCTTGTGTCTTGTGGAATAGTGTGTGCAATCCAGGACCACATGATTAACCTCTGGTCGGAATCAAATCGCTAACAGAAAAATATTGTCTTATACATCATAAGGCATTATATCGATTCAGATCTCTGCATCTGGTTATTCTGTATCAGCAATTCCTAGGACACAACAGACCTCAAGGGCAAAGGTTTGGAGCTCACTTCAACCTTCAACCCGACATCACCAGCAGTGATGGGACCCTATGGGCACGGAGAATATGATGGTTGAATATGACTCAACTAACATGTTTGAAGACTTCGTCTAGTCTCTCAATCTCCTGAGTGGTCAACATAATTTATGTCCATTTATGATGTTCTAATAAGAACATAAGTATTGTTGTCATCATATATTGTACATCACAATATATTGTATCAGCACTTTGGTACAAATACATTTGTATGTATTCTATATATTTGACAGTGATTTTCATACTGAGAATCTTCATGTCTATATATAGATTTCTACGGGAGTCAATCCGATGAAAAATGATATGTGCCTTGTGGACATATGCACTACAAACTCTATACTCAGGGGAGTCCAATGTTTCCACTCTCATTGAGAGAAAGGAGATATTTTAAAATCGCTAGACGCGATGAGGTATTTGTTGGCTCAACTCGAGTCATATTTACTATCCCTGTGGGTACCCGAGTAACATCGAGATGCTTTATTGCTTCCCAGGTTTAACTTGTACCCTACTAAACTATGAAGGTATCCGTCAAAATAGTTTCCATAGCGAAACTTATGATGACAACAAAGAGAAATAACTTCTCTTTACCATATGCAACAGATATGGCAAATACATTCTCTGTGTATCATCTGGATTGTACTACACATACGACACAACCCGTACCACATGTTGTGTACGTGATAGTTTTCCAAAGTGTCTTGTACATGACATACTTGGCATACTGGCCTTGGTCATCGAGACATTGGGTTGAAACCGAAACTATTAGCAATTCCAATAGTTTATGATTATTATGATGCTAAATTCTAACAACATTTGGATTTTATGTGCACTACAGGTGACACAGGGAAGCTAATTTTAAGGCTCGCACACCTTAAAGTCTACGCTGAACCACTCAGACTCCTTGAATGCATCAAGTTGAGGTAAGTGGCTCTTCCCTCCATTGACTAGACTATTCAGGTATTCCATGGTTCTAAAAGACATATCTACATGATGGTCTTAAGTGTGTGCTTTATTCACACAAAACCATTGGCTCATTTTCCTGACATCGATTTCAAGAAAATCGTATGGATAGCATTGCAGAATTCTCCTTGAGTGCCTTTCTCTATGGCCCTCGGATTGAAGTTTAGCAATTTGTCCTAATGTCTAGACTCAAAATGGTTTGGTAGAATCCTTTATCCAAAGAAGTTAGGCTCATTGCATTATCTTTACTTTGGAATTGCAACTTACCAACTTTACGTTGGAGTCATGCAGTTTACACGCTCATGACATAACTGCATAATATTATTCCCCTCTATCTTTGATATGTGGATATCTATCAAGTATTTTCTATCTGCGGTAATTCGGTTGCATACCGATATCACCACCCGGCATACATCATTGGCCCCTCAACATATAGTTGGGATCTATGTGAGGAATAACTGTAGTTCTGTCAATACCTCAAGCTCCTCGCATGGGGGTTATTCAAGGCCTGTATGCTGATTCAATGAGGAACATTTCCAGGCATCAGGGGGAGATTTCAAGTACCATAAAGAATGCCAGGAAATTAGTGGAATGTTCAACACATTTTTGCCTCAAATCCACGTACTCAAAGATCGAAACCATGCGTTCAGAATATTTGCAACACATTGCAAATAACCTGCCAGATTCATTTACTGACTATAAAGGTGTCAGACAATCCTACAATCCTGAATATGTCGAAAAGAGTGGAGGTACCAACTAAAACCACTCAACTCCCCGTTCAAAGCAACAGGGGGAGAAGTACGACAATAGTACATCAGGATTCAACTTCTCGCAAGCAAGGATATCAAGGCCTGTGAATCAGTAAATGCAAGTCAACTTCACGTTGACTGACACCTGATGGGTAGTATACACCCAGTGGACGTGAAACCTCCACCAACCCAGGTCATAGTGCACACAATGACCGGGGCATCGGAATACCCGACTCAATCGCATTGGAAATCGCGAGTAGTCACCATGGGTAACGATATTTCCATCAACTATATATTGATATATAGATTCTGGAGAAACATATAACCGGAAGTCTACAATTGTCGACGTACAT